ACTCCTCAGGAGAAAAAGTGATAGTTCTGCGTGAATGGAACCTACTACTCTCTTCACAAAAGATAGCACTTCGTAGACAATCGATCACTCGCTCAGACTGGGAGAAGTTACCATGGACAGGACATCTATGCTTACTCTTCACAAGAGCTTGGGAGATTGGACGCATGTTGGCACACTTCCATCGAGAAGGAAACATTGAAGCCATGGAAGGTTACATGAACTCTTGTCGACAATATTGGACAGACTGGATGCGAGGTCAAACTGCCCCAACAGGTTGGGAAGACAGACACAGTATCAACAGAGACGAATGGAGAGAGAAGTTCTTGCTATACGAAAGAGACTTAGCAATACAGAAGGACATGGAGTATCTCTCAGAAGCAGTCTTTGTCTTTTACACTAAGCGTCTTGATCAGTTCATTAGAGAGAACAACAAACTCTGGGGAGATTTCTGCAAGAGAAGGAAGGACCGTGATGGTAACATTTTGGATGCACTGGAGTTGAACACACATGGGTATGACATGACTATTCAAGGAATTACAGTTCCCATGAACAAGAGAACAGTCATCCCAGAACCTGAACGGCATTTCTCGTTTTCCACAAAGATGATGATCATGGCAATCGATCTGTATGAAGATGAAGCACCTGCTAGCTTCAGCCATTTCACAGTTTTTGCTTTGAACAAGCTTCGACAATTTGTGGATAGCAGAAAGGAATTGACAGCTCAATCCTACAGATTCTTTGTTGAACATGCCTACAATCAATTCTTTCAGCATGAAGCATTCCATCAATCTGCAAGAGCAAGGACAAAGGTCAGGGAATGCGGTTCAGGTGACTTCCACACATCTACAAAGCTCGATGGCTACATCTGGGTAGCTGGAAAGGACAAGATCGCTCACATCCCAGGATCAGAGCAACAGAATGTGGACATGGAAGGTCACGATGATGATGATGCTGAAGATGATTTGGAGTTTTTGCCAAGACTACAAGTTTTTGTCAGGAAAGAGGAGGAAAAGGCATCAGGCTCTCAGGAAAGAGAGGAAGAAGGTGTATGCTCTCAAGAAAGAGAGGAAACACAACCACAACAAGAAAGTGAGGTATTACCTGATGCAAATCCTCGAAGAAATATGGAAGATCGACAGGGACTGTTTATAGTCAGGCAACTCAAACCAGAGCACAGACAGATCCTCCATGATATTACACTCCAAGGCCAATCAATCCTCACAGAAGATGATCTTGAAGGAGGTCGACCCCTTGAACGTGGTGACATAAGCTTCTTCTCATTATGGTTGATGATGTCAGCATTATCAGATGCTTCCTTTTCAACATTTATGGAGCAGTATGCACCTATGATGGGTTATGAGATCTCTTACGACAAGTACTATGAGTTCAAACTGGATATTGACAAAGTTCTCAAGGACAATGAACACCTCGGCGCAGAAAATTTCTTTGGAGCAGAGGATCCTCATATGGTGGACGATGATCCAAACACTCCTCTTCCAGATCTTCAAAGACCAGGCGCAGGTGATCCTGAGTACAAGCATACCATTGAAAGTTTGAACATTGAGGACAAACATATCATTTTGGAAACTGATGATGACAAATTGGTTGAGTGTACATTGAAGTGGATCAGTATGTGCAACAAGAATGTTCAACAAAAGATCAAGGACAGTTTTGTCAAACCAGAAGAACGACAAGAGAAAGAAGAGGATGAAGAAGAGGAGATTGCTGTCGAAGAAAAAGAAGAAGAAAAAGACACACAGGAGCCACATGTCCCAGCTGAATGCTCTTCAGAGAAAGAGGAATCAGCTCCACCTGAACGCTCCTCAGAGAAGGAGGAATCAGGGGAGAAAAAGACAGACATTCAAGATGATGAGACAGCTCCTGAAGTGAAACCTGCAGTTCGACTTTACTATGGTCAAGATATCACTGGAAACGAAGATGATTCAGTTTTTCGAAGATTGAAGGATTGTTTTTCAGATGGTTACCATGGTGAATGGGCAGGATTTTACAACAAAGGTTATCCAGCGTCTTCGAAGCATCGACATATGTTTTGGCATGTTAAGTACAGGAAGACCATGTCTCCACATCATGATTTTTGGTACCATCTTACAGATGACCAGTTGATGGTTGAGTACATTGCCAGACACAAGAATCAGGATCCACAACTAGAATTACAAGAACTTAATCAGCGCATTGAATATGGTTGTAGTGATCCAAGGATGCATCCTCTTCATCAAGACAAAGCAGAAAGATCCTCAAAAGAAGCAGAAAAGAGGATTGATGACGATTTTGGAAATCTCACAAGGGTACTCCAAGATTACGTTGAGGACCACAAGGTCTTGCCTTACTGTATGATCTTGCATAGCTTGGCTTACAGGTATTTAGGTGGAGGCCTATCAGACCCAACGTACAAGGATGCTGAATTTCCATACAGATCCTCTCCACAGATAACAGCAATGTTTTGGAATTTGGGAAACTGGTGCAGAAACAGATTTGAAAAATGCCCGGTTCCAGAAAGATTTCAACAATTCATTCCACACATTGACTACACTATCGATGAGGATCATGAAAAATTTGATGAAACCAAATCACAGTTCAACAATTACTTCATCAATGTCATCAAGAACTTTGGAGGACATCTTTTCATGAATTGCGAGGCTGGTTCGTTGTATCCTCACAGAGAAAGACTCGACGAGGTTGACTTTAAAACTTGCTTCAATGACTATCATGACTTGATGGTGGCAGCTCGCCTTGGAAAGGATGGCTATATCAAGCAAATTGCTGGATATCACACAGATGACAACGACACACGAGTTCGACAAGTCTCATGGGCAATCTTTGAAGTATCTTGGGGAAAGACAAAGGATCGAGATACAGATGAGATTGTTGACTTGACAAGAGCTAGGATGAGAATGACACGTGTGTGCGTTTATCACGTCGGACAGAAGTATGCATCAGACTCTGCTGGGATTGTTGGTGAGTGCTTAGCTGTTATGGCTTTTGAGTGTGCCAGATATCAAGTTGACTTCATCGCAGGTGATGGAAACAAGGCATGCTATTACAGCACACCAAAATCTCCAGGTGTCCCTACATATCAACACAGCCTTATCCAATTCTGGATTAACAGAATGGTAGGTGTTGCAACACAAGCCATGCGCAAGAATTTTGATCCAACTTGCCCTCCAATCAGGGTCAAGCATTTCATTTCTTGCAGTTATCGTGACTTGGATTTTCTTGCAACGCACTTGGATGGCATTACAACAGCAACATACACCAACGAGCTCATGAACAAGACAAATGGTAAAGGTGATTGTTGTATGTTAACAGTTGTTGAGTGGGGTCACTCACGTTTGATGTGTGAGGAACACCCAGAAGACTTTGAGGATGAAGATCACATGAACTATGTGGGTGAATTTTACTTCAAGGTAAATGAAACTTGCTTACATGGTGATCACAACATCTTCATGGTTGCTCCAAATGATCGCGATGCTCATAATCCAATTCTTATCCATCTTGATCCTTCTGATATGTCATGGAATGAACGACATCATTACAAACAGGCCTACAAGAAGAAGCAGTATGCTGATTCAAGAAAGGAAAGACAGAAGGAGAAAAAGAGAAAGGCATATGAAGATCAAGCATCGACGTATCAGGGCAACACAGAGTGGGGTGGATCCTCATCTTCAGCGTCCAGACCATGGAGATCAAGTGAGTGGCGATGAGTGAGTGTACACTTCTTTAATTGAAGATAACACAGCATGAGAAGCCGTGTACAGTTTTTCTGTGCGTTCAACTTATTTCACACAAATGGCATATACTCTTTTAGATAGAGATAATGCCACAAGTGTCTGAACTTCAATTTAATGTAAAATAGAGACTCTTGTAAATAGAGATACTATATACATGTATCTCCATGAATCATCCGGCGAGCAGACCACTCCGAACGGAGCGAACTTCAAAAATTTACCAACTTCGATTTCAGTCCATTGTTTGCTTGAATGAGCAACTTTGGAGATCCGCTATTTCCGTTTATTTCGTGATTTGGTCAATTGTTTTTCGTATGACCTGAATTTCTGAATCTTGCGAACCCGAACTTTTCAATTCGAACTTTCACCGGTAGAGCGAGGCATTTTGCCTGTGGAGAGACCGTGCGCGAAGCACCATTGGTCACTACTGGAAAAATTAGCGAATCCGCTGTTCTTTTTCGACATGTCCTTAGGACATTCGCTGCTTTCACGTGTTTTTCAATTCGAAGCCACTGCGTAACTCCGGTTTCTTTTGCTATTTGCCATTGTGTAGAGAAGTCAGGAAGATACTCTTAATACCAATTGGGTACGGCAAGGCGTAGTGCTCTACTCATTGCTTTTGAATTTGTGCCTGTGTTTTTGTTTCGACCTAATACCTACATAGGTACATGCATGAGTATTGAGCACATTTATATGCGCCCTTCAAGGCTCAAGAAAGAGGTATATAGAGTAACCCTGTAGACAAGCACTGACCGGCAACAGGCTGAGAGTAAAAGAGTGCTGTCATTGGGGAAGACGCCTTAGCTGATCTTGAAGTAGACGCTAGGGCCCCTCTTCACCCCCCCCCCTCTAAAATGGTCATGGGTTCAATTCCCACGGGTGACGCGGTCACGGGCCCCCACATTAGAGGCACACTTTCCATGAGGGAGATGTCCCTGTAGTCCAGCATAATTGGTATGTTTCAGCCTCAATAACAGTTGCTGCAAGGGGGGTTTTAAATAAACCCCTTTTCGTGCATCATTTCACGCTGCACAAGACACCGTATCATGCAGTCATGCTCTGGATAAAATCATCTTAGACTGCGTAAAAACCTTTTTGGTGTATCATCTTAGGGGCGCAGCGTTTTGACACCACTCCTCTCCCACTACACTACCTTTCGTCCGCCTCCGCCTGCTCTCAAGTAGTTTGGTCATAGAGACTCCTTGGGACCCTTTCCCAGACACGCGCCAGCCTTGGCATTGCGGTGTTTCTAAGGCTGGTCTACGGCTAGCGGTGGACAAAGCAGGAGGTTCTGTCTGAAAGCATCGTTCAATCGTCCACCTGTTTCTGCAAGTCTTGGCCACATGCTTCACACTTTGAACATGTTTGAAAGCATGGTCGAGGGGACACTCCAAAGCCGCACGACATCATGGGAGAAAGGCAACGCAGATCACAAACTTCACATCTCAGAAAACTGATGGTCGTTTATTTCTAAAAGGCTAAGTTAAGTGAATCAATCAAATCCCATTTAATTATAATTTAATCCCATTAAATGTATGTAAATATCAGTATCCTTGGTCAGCCCGCTGCAGGTCCTGCCTTGATCTTAGACGGCAGGCGGGACCAGACAATGGAGTTCTCCGAAGATTTTTTTGTTTTGCAGGGAATATTGAGCAACCCCCAAAGCATTAGAACAGGGTAAACTTGCCTTATTTTAGTGAATATTTTAGTGAATGTTTATGAATCTTGTGTTTCTATGTGTCTCTATCTTTTTTGGGCTGGTTCCCCAAAATGATCCAACATTGCTATGTTGAAGGGTAGAGTCATGATATTAAGAAACGACATGATAGATAAAACCTGATCAAAAGCCCAGATAAAACCACTAACAACGCACAAAAACCATACAAAAACCATGTTAGAACATACTAAAACCATACTAAAACCATAGTAAAAATAGTAAACACCATCTAAAACCCATCTAAAACCCATGGTTTTTTGTTGGCCCCGAGGCCCGAAGATCTCACCGCAGCTGGCCGCGCCAAACGGCAGCTCTGCCTGGAGCTGGCGCCAGAGGACGCGCTGACGGATCTGACGCTGGAGCTGCAGGCGGTCAGCGTGACGAAAACGGGGTAGTATATATATCTAGTATAGGAAACCAACAAAACACAATAATTATCAATAATAATCCCGTTAATAATGCTGTTAACAACGAGATTCAATAATTAATAATGATAATCCCATTAAATCATTAATTATCAATAATTATTATCAATACTTGTGCTTAGTAGGGAAGGGAATGATCCACAATAGCTATCAATAATAATCCCAGCAACCCCCAGCTTCCCATCCATTCCCTACTAAGCACCAGTAAGAAAATATAGGAATACCCACTAAGCAAGAACCTATATATATATGTATATATATATATACATATGTGGTTATGATTGATCATGGTTATCCAACAACATATGGTAAAATAATGAAATGTGAATTGGGATGTGAATGGGATCATAGTTGATAATAACGGACAATACTTGATATTGTTAAAGCAACCCCAAAATATATAAAAGTGGGACATCTGGAGTCCATATGGGGAAAACACCATAACTATGACATCCAAACGACACACATTTTTTTAATCCTTTTGCAAGTTGCAAGTTGGTCATGTTGAACGACACTATCATGGGGTATATGATCTTAGGGGGCGTGACCAAGTTTTTTTTTAATTTGAACTGGTGAGAACAAGTTGATTAACTACCAGTGGATGGACACAATGGGGATTTTGAGCAGGTGCAACCAATAAATGAATAGCATGGAAATATTGATGGGAATAAGGGGGATGTGATTATAATGGGTGATATAGCATGGATGTTTTCATATAGTGGGATAAAGTGGGCATATGTGGGCATTCTATCGGGATGTGCTGGAATGGGGCTGGGCCAGTTGGGTTTGGCTGAAAATTTGGGATAATCATTCTAATTGAGCCATGTTTGATCTAAATCCATTCAAAATCTTTTGTAAACCCAATGCGATATGTATGGCAATAGGCGTACAATATTGACAAATGCTGGGCAACAGAATGCTGCATAATGGCAGTTTCTTTTAAGGCTCAGCTGAAACCATCCAATTCGGGGGGCGGTGTTGAGCCACAGTTGAGGATGACGAGCCTTCTTGTAGCCATCAATTTTATGGCGAGGGATGGACTTTGGTGTAAATGTCCATAGTGACAACCCATCTCCCGCCCAGAATCTGTATTTTGCCTGCCGACCCCAGGCCCCCATTGTACATGATTCTTTGGCGGACGTTAGTAAATGGATGTAAATGGATTAATTATAATATATTATAATTGACTACATTACCATATCTTCCCCTTTGGCAAACGTATGTATATATATATATACATACATGAAGTGATGGGACCATCATGGGAAATCCTGGGACCAACTACAAATGCCATGGGGGATTCTCAGAGTCCGAAAAGTCATCCATAGTCGTTTTCGGTCTTGTGCTTAGAATATATGTATGATTATGTGTATGTATATATATATGAATATGAATCTAATATAATATATATATATATGAAAACATATATAACTATATGCATAACTATATCTATCTATCTATCTATCTATCTATCTATCTATCTATCTATCTATCTATCTATCTATCTATCTATCTATCTATCTATCTATCTATCTATCTATCTATCTATCTATCTATCTATCTATCTATCTATATATGGGCTTAAGACGTCTTAAGCTTGGTACATTCATATCAGTTAGATATCCTGAGCTTACGCCTACATTACATATACATGTTCATATCCGGACATTGACCGTTAATTATACCTATCGTCAATCAACCCAACGTATAGAACCACCCCAAAAACATAGAAAAGTAATAATAGTAACGTCACTCCACAAAATTGTGATCAATTCGTTCGACTTTTCTGTGTCTTTTTGGGTGGTGGCTCTTCGGCTATTCAATGGATTGGTATAATGGGACAATTTACAGGACCCCCCAATAGAAAACCCATGGTTTCCTCTGATTTTCCCAACATTGGATTAATCCATGGTTTCATTAGTCGCGTTCAGTCATCCATGTTCAAGTCAGGATCAATCCCATATTCCCACAACATTATATAAAATTCCAATCCCATAGGATCCATGTATGGTATATATGCTAACATTTGGGGTATATTGATGGTAAATGTTACATAATGTTACCATGTATAGCAGCATACATGGATCCTATGGGAATGAAACCCAATGAAACCCTATGACTTCCCCGTCAATTCCCATGAATTCCCATGAAATCCAGGCCGTCCGTTGTGACACGTCCAGGCCCTCACTGGCTCTCGCCGTTTCTTGCGCTCGATGCTCTTGGCTGCTTTGGGGCCCTTGGGGGACACTGCCGCCCGGGACCTTGGGACCTTGGGACCTCGGATTTATGGTGTGGTGAAAGATGGTGATTTTGCCTATTTCATGATATGGGTATGGATCAATACCTATTAATACCATTTTTAGTGGGATGAACATCCATAAATCCCAGCTATTTTGGGGTTCACCAGGGGTACAGGGTTTTGACCCATCCCCATATGAATGGTCTATTTCTCCAATTTCTATCCAGAAATGGATGGTACATCATGGTACCAGTAGTATTATAGGTTAAGTGGTTGCGCATATAGTCACATGATAAATTGACTATGAACTGTAGCTGAAATAACTGGGATGTATGGTGGATATATCAGTTGGATGTGTTTCAATAGATTGACCAACTTTCAACGGGGGTCCCCGTAGTGTCAACGCCATGCTGGCACTACAAAACCCATGGTTCTGTTGAATTTCGGGGCGCCAGTGAACCATAAGTTCATCACTTTTTGAGGATAACTCCCCTGATTGATCAACCAGGTTTTATTTATCCAGGGCATTATTGCTTTTGGAACCCTACTGTGCTTGGGATTGATCCTGACTGACGAATATTTGTTCTACCAGTTATTGGAACGGATCCCAGTTCAATTCATGTGAAACATGAATTATTCGATGGATGGTTTGGAAACCGGCTGGGTCTTCGATTTTTTTCGATCTCAAAAAGTCCAGCATTTCAATCCATTTCAGGGATTTTCTTTCTTGGTCGAACAAAAAATCTACCCTCCAGTTGGGTTACCTTCTGGTAATTTTGAAAATGGATCATTTATGGAGGATTTACCTCTTAAACATGGCAAACTCTTTTTTGTGACCATTCCAGGCATTTGGTCCGGGATTGCGTCAATCCAAGTGCACTCAGGTCATGGCTTTCCATATTCACTTTGGGCCCAGGTGCTGCAAGAGAAGTTGGGGTATACCACCAGAAAGGGCGTGGTTTAATCGGGGTGTAGATTGGGAATGGCAGTGTGGTTGTCAAGCTAACATAGCCGTGGAAAATCACCATTTTTAATGAGTAAATCAACTATAAATGGCCATGTTCAACAGCTATGTTTGTTTACCAGAGGGTAACATTGAATACCTTTGGGTTGACCATCAAGGAATAATTTGGACCCGATAAATCAGTGGTATGTTTATACTAATTTGTGCCCACCTTTGTTGCATGATGGTCGAGGGCAAGGAACACAGATCCTCAAGAGCTGGGTCGCCCGAAGACACAACGCATTGGAAAACCTATGGGAAGCTGGTTTTCGGTCTGTTTGGAGTTAAAGCTTGGATTTGAAACACTGTTTAACGTTTTTATTTTTTGCATTTGGATACTTAACGTCGGATTAATCAGCAATCTATATATGCTACAAGAAATCCTAGAACATTTTGTATTTCCGGTAGCCCCAAATGTAAATACCGGTTTTTGGTATGGTGCTAGTATGTGCCAAGTGGCAACCTCAATAACATTCTAAATTGGCTAATTATGGTGTGTGCTTGGGTTTACCACAGCAATTTGATTACGGATCCATGTTTTTGAATTAGAATGTGGAAGAATTGGGAGATATAATTTCATGTCCACTCAAAACATATACATATATGTATATATGTGCTGAACATGTTTGGGATTGTTAGGGCCGATTTAAAACATTCAACAATAAATAAAACTGAACCATGGACAGATAAATAGATAGATAGATAGATAGGTAGATAGATAGATACTATAGATATTATATATATGTACATATCATCATGTAATTGTTACATGTATATATATATATATATATGAGCCCGGTCCCCGGATCGCCACCCAAACCTCGCATCTGGCAGCATTTGGGAGGCACTGCCTAACTGCTTGTAGCGTACCTCACATTTTTTTTATGCACTCATGGCATGCCTTTATGCTACATTTTTGCTACCTATGGATTTTATACTCAAAACGTAGCTATGCATACCTATATCATCCTATATATATATACAGCTTAAATATGCTTGGATGCAGTATCTACCTACAAATGTATATATATATATATATATATACACGCATATATGCGTATATAAATACACACATGCGCCACGTAAATATAATACCCAACATTGCCCAACTAGTAGTTTATACCTATGTGCAGTGTAGAACATAGATTGCTTAGTCACTACCTATATATTCCTTACACCCTACATATACTACCTACACACGTTCCATAGCGTACCTATATATGACTCATTGCATAGTGTGCCCATATACGAAATGCGTACATACTTAGGCCATCTTACGCCCCCAGCTATGCCCTTTTCAACAGGTATAATTGATGATAAACCAATGGACTTACTGTAGTTTTTGCCTAATTTTTCAAACAAACCCAAATATCACATTAAGATACATTAAGTTTGTCATATATCCGATTATATGCCGAATGCATCCCCATTCTACGTCATTTTACCCCAATTACATCCCCATAAAATCCACTAAGATTAAGGTCCTCACTAAAATTATCACGATTAAATACCCCTATTGTATTCCCATTATACCCCCCAAGGATACATATTTACATGGATTGGTTGGCCATAATTCCTGAGAAAAATACAATGACAATGTCTTTCTACCATTACCCAATCATCAATACTACCATATTAATATATTACACATATGGTTGGTATACTATGGTTGGTAATAATTATATATATATACATATATATATATATATTTTAATACATTATATAATTATATATATACATATGTAGACAAATATGCCAATATGCACCCATATATGCCAGATGAATCTATGGTCGGGAAATATACGAGAACAAATATTAACCATAGATATACCCGATCTATGGCAAGTATATATAATTATATATATATAGACTTAATTAGATATACATACATATATTTATTTATATACATACCCAAATGAAGTTCTATCGCCGTTTCAACCTGGCTGCGATGCGCAGGTGCTCCTTAGCCTTGCTGTGCAGTTTCGAGGCGCAGCGCCATGCGCTGCAACTGCGGCAGGCTGCTCTGGGAGATCGGAAGGGGCCATTTCTGGTGTTTGACCCACAAAAATGAAGAGATTTCACCGGATTTCATCAGATTTTGCCTATCAAGTTGGTTTGCTATATCCCATGTGATTGATATCTTGGATAAATAACCATAGCATACAGTACTGTTGGCTGGTTCTGCCCCATGAAATCCCTTTCAATGCCAATAAGATATATTGTTGGTGTATCCTTCATTGTTAGAGATATTGCAACTCAATTCATGTTCATTTTAGATCCCTATTTTTGCAGATTAAACCAGAATAAAGGTCACCACTTTTTCGGTTTAAGTCATATTGCAAATTATCTGATAGACCAGAGGGAATTTGGTGTTCCCAATTTGGAGACAACCGCTCCGAGGCAGTGCATATGCACCACAGTACCTACAGCTGGTTGCAAAGATGATTAATTGTTGTGTTTTTTCCTTGGCACCTTTAGCATTTATTTTTGAAATTGAAACTGGAACCATTTCCAACGGTGAGATCATCTTCCAATTTTTGGTGTGTCAGATTGGCAGGCCCGACAGCCGGAAATGCCAATCGCTGCAAAGCCTGCAGAGAGTGACTGGGCCTACCCAAGATTGGTTGATGTTCATTCTCCAGCAATTTACCCTAACTAACATAGCTACGGCAACTATGGAAAATTCACCATTGTTAAAGGCAAATCATTTATGAATGGGTTATTTTCCACAGCTATGTTAGTTTTAGTTCACTGGAGGGTAAGCCAGCAACAATGGTGATCATGGAAAAAACACGTGGGATTTTGGAATAAGAAAATACGGGATCTTCCATTGCCGTGTTTATGTGCCGGAGGGTCGAACATGCAAAAGCAAATCCGCGTTCAATCATGGGGCCACGGAGAATGGTTACAATGCCACACAATGCCATAGTTTCCATCATGGAAACTCACCGGAGAAGAAACAATGGACTCCATTGACAGCTTGATCGGTTTAACAATCCTCGCAAACGGATGTTTCCTAAAATGGCAGGGGCCCAAAAAACATCCCCCCCAAGCGATTTGTCATTTTTGGGGCACCCACAAACTCATCCCAGACCATTTCGATGGGTTTCCCGATGAATTATGACTCGTATGACATGGTGGATCATCCGAGTAGTAAATATCCCTGAGCAAGTCCCCCAAATTTATCCAAATTTGACAAATGTGGGTAAAACATGCTAAAACAACAATAAACCATCCCCCAATTTCACCATTCCAATAGGTGGAAAAAAAAGTTGTTATGTTTACCATTCCCAGTCATGGGTGGTTTATGACATTGTTTTACCCTCATTCATCATCATTAACTATCAGTAACCATCATTAACCATTCATGGTTACTAACATACCATTACTATCATTTACCAATATTAATCTTCATCACTAGCCACTTCCTTTGCGAGGCGTCCCCTTGGAGGACCCGTGGCGCTCGTCGCAGCAACGCCGGGTGTCACAGGCCTTACAGCGGCTGCGGCCCGAGCCCGGCGGAACGCCGCGGCGCGAACGGCGGGCGAAAGGTGGCACTGTGACGACGGGATGGAGGAGGTGGGGATGGGGACGGGGATGGATGGTGATGGTTTGAGGTGTAGACATAGATAGCATAGGCATGGTGTAAATACACATGACGTATATGCAATTATATGATATTATATGAAAATATGATGTATGTGTGTATGTATGTGTACATATGTATCTGGTGTATGTATGTACATATGTATGTATATAATGTAATGTAATGTAATGCAATGCAATGCAATGCAATGCATGTCTGTAGTGTAAAGGATGATGTATATGCAGTACTCCAACTCCGCCTTCCCGGTCCACGCAGGGATAGTCGCAGAAAAAGGGACGTTGGGAAAAATGCAACTGTAGAGGATATGGAACTGGTCGGTGGTTTCAACGATTGTTTACTTCCAATCCTGCCTGATGAGAGGCAATAAATTGATTCAAGACATGATCGTTCAAGTATTCATGTGCATAGAATATAATATGTAAGTTGTATACATATACTCTTTATGATTAATGGTTTACCGATGTCCCCCGCCAAAACCTTAAAATCATCATCATCACATAAGGTACTATTCACCAACTGAGATGATCAAATAAGACAATCCACTCCCTGGACATATAGTAAGCACATAGATAGAAAGGGTCTCCTATAGATGAAAGGGTCCTCGAGAATTACGCTTAATTTGTTTGCTCCACTGGATTCTGGGCCATATGAATGAAGATCCGGATGATCAACAATGATGGAAACCTCCATTGATGAACCAGCGCGGCGGGATTTACTTGAGGGTCTAACGACATTTCTTAGTTGGGCTGGTGCAATCACTGGTATGTCTCAAGTTGAAACCTTGACCAAGTGACTTTGGCCGCCCTGCATACAAGAAACACACAGACACACAGATCTAGCAATCCCTTCCTTGGATGGTATATTTCAATACCATCCTGCCAACCCTGCTTCGGTATTGGATCTATTCATTTTCCTAGCCATTCTTGCGAGGTTTTCAAAACTAGTGAAGTGGGGCGATACTATTTTTTCTCCCTGAGATAAAACCCCCAACTATGCCCAATGAAGAATAGGCAATGGGTTCTCTTGGGATTCAATCCCTAAGACAATTTGGAGGATCTCCCATAGCCGCCATAGATTCCCTAAAGGTCCACCAAGTCGCATCCCTTCCTGGAGCCCGGGGCCCCGGGCCAGCCACGTTTCATTTAGATCAGGGATTTCCCGGCCAGCCACGTTTGATTTTCCGGAGGGTATATATCCTTGACATTCATTCATTTTCCCCAATGAAATCAAACCATATTGAGCCGCATTGAAAGAAGAATCATGTCACGTCGAGTGTGTTTGCTGGTGCTTCATCTATCTAGTCTTCGAACTGGCAAGAGTTCATCGCGCTATGTGGTTGGATGATCTTGGATGTTTGTGGGAGGGCTGGCAGTGATCGATGTTGACGCCCCTGTAAAAAGAGATGTTTGATCTGAAAGGGTTCCTCTTCAGTCCAGCAGGGGATCAGATACCCCCCACAAGAAGCACTTGCCTGTTGTCATTTGTTCGGCAGTTTACATTATTTTTCCATTTTCAGTCTTACCTTGGGTTGCCAATGCCTCCTTTTATTGCCGGGGATAGCTATACTACTGCCATCTACTGCCAACAAGTGGTCTCAGATCCTCTTAGCCGCTTAGGGGCCCAAGGGGACAAGGGACACCCAATGGTGGCGGGGTGGTCTAAGCGCTCCGTGCGTCTGCGGGACTGCACCAATGAAATCTCCAGTTTTGGACGGCAAGGGCGGTGGCAGGCCCAACCCTGGGACCAAGCATCCAGGATCGCACTGGGAGTACAGTAACTGTTGAGTCACTAGATGAAGGGAAGAGTCACACGAAATAGCTTGAGCATGCTTAAATCTAAGACTCATGTTTGTTTGATTCTGTATATAATATAGATATTTAATATTTGTTTAATGATATTTACGCTGTAGAACCTTTTCTTAATGTATATACATATATAAATATACCTGTATACATAGAGTGCTCCAAAACGTTGTGTTTTCCGTGGTTTATTTGTTTCAATCCGACTCGACTGCCAGGCTGCCATCTCCAAGTTTCAGGAGATTTCAGATGAACAGCTCCACCCGGGAGTTGTGACGTCTCCTGGTTGGTGGTTTCAAACATGACTTTTATTTTCCATAATATATATATATATGTATTATATATATATATATATATGTGGAGAAATGGGATAATCCTTCCATAATATAGATGGATAACATTTTTTTTATATGTGGGATAATCCTTCCATTTAATATAGATGGTTAAAACATGTTAAAACCAAAAACCAGTCTCATGTCGCAATTTTTACTGCGCTGATGGCTGAGAACACGTTCAACTATAGTGTCGACATAATATTGGTGTCCACTATTTTTTCGCAAGATTTGAAGATGTGATTTAATCAATATATGATGTAGAAGAATTGATCGATATATCATGTCCACTTGTTGAGAATACGTCTTTCAAATCTGATGTCCACACTAATAAAGCTATCATTGTGTACACCCCTATATACAGCTATATACTTGGTTTGGTCGGTTTGACTGCGCGCAATTGGTTAATACTTGGGGATGCCTTACGCTTATGGATATCGTATCGGGAATTTTGAAAGCCCCTGGGCCCCAAGTAGGGAGTATCGGAAAAACCGAAACAACTTAGGGACACAGTCTGCATTTGCCCGTGGCTCATTTTATCTTTGTAGTGTTTCAGATGCTGTGTTTAAAACACGAGTTCATTGATGTTTATGTATGTTAGTTGAGCAATGAGATCATTTGTCGTGGCTGTTCCAGGCGGAAAAAAAACTATCATCTCTCAATTCTACCCTGTTTTCTACTTAAACACATTGATTTTGGGATCCCAAACTACTTTGAAATAGACATTTCAATACATTTCAAACATATAGAATCGTGTGCGTCAGTGCAGTGCAAGTGTGGTGCAAATCTCCGCCCCACCTCACTCCCCAAGGGTCTCAAGGTATGGCATTCACTTATTTTCAGGCAGGTCACCCTACTTGCACCTGCACCCGAGCCATTATATAAGAAACCCCGGCTTTGAGATGGGAAAACGGTGTATGGTTCATGGCTTACCGGAAAAAGGGACTGGGAACGATGATATATATCCGTTTAACAATGAAAGGAGTTTCTAGCCCATGTTTTACCATATACTGCTCATGCTCCCCATTCCAGCCCATGCGTTTTGATGGGTATCGCAAGTCTTGAGATAAACCCTCATTGAGCAATGTAAGTCGTTTTGAAAAGCGGACTGTTCAATGTTCCGGGTGCCAGCCGATGAAATCATTCTTCAGGTTTGATTTGCTTGATGTGCAAAAAGTTGCCAAAGCTGTTGGCAAGTAGCTGGCTTCAGGCACCTCTTGAATCAAAACATCAAAACTGTTGATCCAATTTGAATTGATCCAAACTGTTGATGTTTACCTCCCCAACCACAGATGGTTGACCTAGTTGGTTGCCCTCGAGCATAGGTACAACTCCTTGCTTAGTGCTTTGGACAAGGTGGGGAGATGAGTAGGTCCATGCTGCTCTGTTACAATCCAGAGATTGGAAAGCAATTGGCCGAAAGCCTTTGACTATTTTTTGGCCTTGCGTTTGGGCCCCTTGGAACCCTGTACTGTAACATTCAGGCAAGATATAGGTTACGCAAGTGGACAACAACACACGGTGAGAAGAAATGCTCAGTGAACGCTGTGTGAGGCAAGGCCCTTTTTGTTCACTTGAAAAGCCACCCAAGAGCAGTCAGCAAACGAAGCCGAGGAAAACAAAAACATGAATGTTATTGGTTGGAGCATGACCTTTTTGCGCTGAAGGTAGAGCAGATTTAAGTTGCGGGCACATGCGCACTTTTGGGAAACACTTCAGTTGCGTCTCATTTTCAGCACTGTTTTTTATGGTCTTCCCTCAGCCTCATTTTGGATCATTTGGAAGACCTGGATGGCTCCCATCTGTTGTGCCGCATGCCCACAGGCGTCGCAAACGTGCATGGCTATGGACCTCCTACAGCAATTGGCCACTTGGATCCACTTGGCAATTGCGGCAATGGCCTGCAAGGTGGGTGTTTTTGTGGGTGTTTTGATGTTGAGAGCTTGAATCTGTTTGAATTGATGGACAACTGGTGAGTTGTCATATCTACATACTGTGTAATTATATATATATAGTTATTTGTTTACGTATATTATATAAAACAATATTTTGTAATATATAATTATGTAATATATATTTTTTACATATGCATGTATTTGCAGAGTATGTCGTTACGTGCTTCAGCGCGTTTCAGTCGCAATCCTTCAAAAAGATAGCAAAAGGGAGCCCTTCAGAGAATCACCGGCTGACGGTTTCAGAACTGGAAAACATGTCCATTTCTTTCCAGGCTGATTGACCCATATTCAGACGCGTATATTCAGTACATTTTAGTACTACAATGTAATTTATTAAATGCATATAGTGTTGTTAAAGCAATAATAGAGCAATAATAGCCCCCTAATTAATTGATGTTAATTATAATGAAAACGGAAACGTCAAAAAGCAAAGTATAAGTGGCGATACTAAAAGATACTAAAAGTAATAAGGGCCTTGCTAGTTTAGTCATGTTGACGAATGATATTATTGATGTAGGCTGCCTAATAGTAAATCCCCCCCTAAATATATAAAAAAAAAAAAAATAGTGGGGGGGTCAGCATTCCAATAGTAATTTTTTGGAACCTTATAGCTGGGATCATGATATGTATTTGATAGATTCTCCATGGTTTTGTTGGGTTTCTGATAGATTCTGAATGGATTTGGTTGGGTTTCTGAGAGATTGGCGAAGAGTTGGGAAAGGAGAAGGAGGAGAAGGAGAAGGAGAAGGAGAAGGAGGACAACAAAATTGGAGTTGCGGAAAAAAGTTTCCACTATTGCCATGCCTGGTGCAGGTGTGTTATTGCTATTCTGGAGCTTGCAAAGGGGGTACCCTTTGTGGACCTGTTTTCTTGCTTTTTTTAATAAGGGTTTTATAAGGAAATCAGTTGTTTGGTAATTGGATCAGATTTCTGGAATCTAAGCTTTTGCTAATCAACAGTGAAGGCTGCTTTGAAAAGGATTTGCTTTACTTGACTCTTTGGCAATACTAAAAGTAAATAGAGCTAATTGACTTTTAGTATTGGAGAAAAAATTGGAGTTGGGAAAAAAGTTTCCGCTATTGCCATGTTGGGTCCACTATTGGCCATGCCCTCTGGACCAGGTCTGAACATGACTCTTTTGGCAATACTAAAAGTAAATGGAGCTAATTGACTTTTAGTATTGGAGGAAAATTGGAGTTGCGGAAAAATGTTTCTACTATTGACAAGATATCACTATTGGCGAGACAACATTATTGCATATTATTGCCCTTGCTTTACTATTGCTTGAGAAACCTTGCTATATATTACAATACAGCACAATACAAAATCTGATTTAGGACATTATTGTCTAATACAATCTACAATTGAATCTATTATAATATAATATTAAGATGATAATACAATGCAATATAGTATCATTTTGCTTTAGTACAATATATAGAATATACAAGAAAAAACTGTTACAACGATCCTTCATACAACATTAAACAAATATTTAATGTAATAATATAGTGTAGTGTAATGAAATGCACGGTAATATTTGATATACATATATTTATGTATTGCTGCATATGGTTTGTATCAGTGTTTTGGCCTACAGCCCTTTGCGACGGCGTTAACATGTTTTGGTATGATGGGTCAGCCATATTCCCATGACATCACACAGGGTCGACTTCTGCCGTTTCCCAGGAAGCATCTCTGCAGCAACCGGACATTGTTAGTTTTTGCAGCGTGGCCTCTGCATGTAGCCGAGGTGGGGCCCGACGTCGACCATCCGTTAGGAGGGAGCAGTGACTTGAGCTATGGGTACTGTATTCCCTATATATATATATATATATATATGTTTAATATGTATATTGAACGGGAGCGAAGGGGTACCAAGAGTTTCCGAACCACGTGACATCAGAGGTCACAAGATGTGTCATCTCAGCCTCTCGGCTCCAGGATGTAGTTTTTTTCAGGTTGCGAACTTTGTGAGTCATTCAATCCGATCATCATTCCAAGTTCACCTTATGACATATGACAGGCTACAATAGTATATATATATATATATATGATTATCATATGTTAATTTAATTTGCAGCAATCAAGTGGGATGTAGCCAGCCGTTGATGATTATTGGATTGTCGATGTGATTCATTAAACAACTGATTGGGGCAGATGAATGCAGAATACATGGCGCCCATCCGGGCGTAAGTGGCGGACCTCAAACCATCCCGAGCCATTCTGAAGACCACATCGGCAAACTTGGGGACCCCAAGATTGTAAACATGCCTTTTGAAACGGTTACTGTATACATGATTATAGATTAGATAGATAGATAGATAGATAGATAGAGATAGATAGAGATAGATAGAGATAGATAGAGATAGATAGAGATAGATAGAGATAGATATAGATAGATATAGATAGATATAGATAGATAGATAGATAGATAGACAGACCAGACAGACAGACAGATAGATAGAGGTAGATATATAGATAGATATTATATATATATATAAGTGGGCGTGTGGCCGTATTTCATTTTCATGCATGTCCTGCCAATCCACGTCATGGCGATCGGTCTGTGAAGAGGCAGGGCAATGCTTTCTCAAATTTATCTAAGTTTTCTTGCTTGTTATTATATGGGTTGTCTGAAAATAGGGGTGCGACAATTTATGGCCATTGAAAGCGGAACCTGATAATCAACCAGCGGATTTAGGGTGAACTCCATTTTCAGACTCCCATATTATCACAGCGGTCTGGGTCAAAAAGGTCAACGTTGTTGACCAAATCCCAAGTTGCTTGGTCAACCCCCAGAGATTTTGGTGGCAGCTCAACACAGAGAGCATCTTCTCAGGCTGGTGATCTGGTAGCTGAGGGTCAGCTGAGGGTCAGCGTTAGGTGAAATACCCTAAATCAAACATGGCTCGCTGCGACATCCCTTGGCTTCAATGGGAAATCATCGATAAATGAACAATTTTCCATGGTTATGTGAAATTTACTCGGGGGTAATTGATGGTGACATACGGTAACCGTCTATGCTGGGCTGCTAGTTCTTGGCGGGAACACTTCTGCAAATCTCATAGGAAGGGACTGGCATGAGCAGGTCACGTGTCTTTTTTGATACTGAAAGCTGTGTTTAGGATTCGGCGGCCCATTTTTTCACATTGTGCATATGAAAAAAAGGTCATTTCCGTACATTAGTGACCCTACACCTGATCCTTTCTTGTGTCATTTGAGACACAGAAATGGAATCATCTCAGGTATGTAACGGTATGTAGATCACCTTTGCCATTGGCTCAAACTTCCCGTAATTAGATGACTTAGATTTGTTTGAACTAGCAAATGCATTGGGAAATCTTATTTTTTTCCCAGAATCATGGCCATTGTTGGGGTATACAATATAGAGTAACACATTATCCTATAATCATCTATAATCCATTAAATCTCATGAAATCCCCCTTACTTTCCACATCCTTTCCATATAGAATCCCATTACATTGCTTGTTTCCATTGATTTCCAGCATCCATGTGTTGCCACAACTCCAATGGACTCACCAGCCCAAAGCCGGTGCCATTCGGCTGACTCGGAACAGTCGGAAGTTTCTTCTGATGTGGAGCAAGTGGACCATGAGATGCCAACGGACTCCAAGGATCTTAGAGTCGGTGATTTGCTGGTTTTATTTCGTCGTAAAAGTTGGGTAATGTGGGTAAAACAATGCCATAAATAAACTACCCATGTGGGAATGGTGAACATACCACGTATTTTTGGTAAAGCCACTGAAATAGGGTATATATCTTGATTTGCGGACTCTGATTGTTGATTTGAACTTTGGACCATCGCAAATGCATCGAATATCAGAGGAGCATGGGATCAACCCATCCATGGTAGAAGCTCAGATGCAAGAGCTCCTGTCGCGGATAGCCCAAGCGGTGGCACGTATGGAGATCACCAATCCGGAGATCTTGCGGGTGACCTATGCGCACCAGGCATTCCAAGGCTGCGGCCAGGTCTTGCGAAGCGACCGAGATTTCTACCATAAGAGCCGGAGACGCGAGTGCCGAGGCTGAATGAGAGAAACATAAGGAGCTTGCAAGTTTGCCATGTGTATTTGCAACAAAAAACAAAAGGTAGGACATGATAATGATGATCTAAAATGATGTAAACCTGTAAAACTGCAACTACATGCAATTGTTTTGTGTATAATGTGCAAGGCTCAGGCGATACTTGAACTCATCGAGAAAATCAGTGTTGACAAGGATATGATGCTGAATTCAAAATGGTATAAGCATATTCGAGGTACCAACCTTTGGGGAGGTTTCACATCCTGAACGGTGCACCCACAATGAAACGGATTCACTTGAGGGATTCTTGAGAAGTCCTAAATTTCCGCAACATCCCTAACCTTCTGCTTTCAATGTGACTTTCGCTCTCTACACCCAAAGTGTTTTCACATCCAAAAACGCTTCAATTGCCAGCCTCATCCTCATTGTAGGGTCTTAAGACTTAGGAAGATTTCCACTTTTGTGAGCCACTCTTGGCATGGTAGCCCTTGGCAAAAGATCTTGGCACTCATCACCTTCTACAACAGTCGAGCGGCCATTTGTTTGGGCTGTGTCTCTGCCGTGACGATGATGCTGCTGAGTGGCCTTGGATATCTACCGGACTCGTTCTCCAACTGGGCAACGCTTTCAGGTGAGGCTAGTTCTTGGTAGTTGGCGGGTGCAACCTACCTGGTTGTGGATTATGGATTAACTATGATTAAGTAATGAATGTGACCTATTAATATCAATTCAATTGTCATCAATCACCCCTTGCCAAGCAACCACTAATGTCCACCCAAGATGAATAAACCCAGTATATTCCAACTATAGATGGTGCACTCCCATGCTTATGGACTGTGGATTTATTGCTCCGGAAGGCCCCAGTGGAGAAAAAATACTTTACTTCGAGTGATCCCCACGCTGACAAATTATTCCGGCATAGTTTCTGACAAATCATCTTGAAGCATATATGGCATAGAATATACATATATATATATTCTGACATTCTATTTGACATTGTTTCTGGCATATACTCTGACATTCTATTAGACATTCTTTCTGACATTCTATCTGACATCTATTCTGACATACTTTCTGGCATATTTTCTGACATTCTTTCTGGCATTCTATCCAGCATATATTCTTGACATTCTACTTGGCACCTATTCTGAAATTCATTCTGACATTCTGGCATTCTATTTGGTATCAATTCTGACATACTTTCTGGCACATTTTTTGGTATTCTTTTTGGCATAAATCCTTTCTGGCATTATGCCTGGCATTCTCTTTAGCATGTTTTCGGGCCCAGGCATGCCCACAGTATCCGGAGCTGACGATATGCAATTCGGGCCCAGGCGTGGCCCACAGCGTACGGAGCTGGGAGGAAGACAGGAGTGATCGGCGAGGAAGACAGAGGTGAAGGAGAAGGAGCGAGGGAGTTGCACCTTTGTTAGAATCTAGAGACAATCACCTGGCAGGCGGAGGAAAAATGGTTTCTGTAACAATGTCCTTCAACATTGATGGCTCATAATTGGACCAGTCCTTAAGTCACCCACTTGTTGATGATTTTTCTCATTGTCATGCATTGTAAGGACACATTGAAAACGGATGTGTTTTAACCAGCAGAAACAGGTCATTGATGGTTGCGTCACAGCTTTTGCTCAGGCTGTCTAACCTCAGCGCTGGTATTGATGCTATGGCGCCCTCAGACCGAGGTGCCTACGTTTTGGTTGGCCAGCCCATGAAGTTAACCCACATATTGTAGATCCTGAATATATATATATATATAATGGCACAATTGACTGCATATAATGTCAAAACATGCAAATATCAATGTTTATCAAGGATAATGACGATGATAATTAACAGGAACATGCATGTATATATATATACACATAGATGTGGTAATTTACATTGTATACACATATGATGTACAATCACGCGCGCACACTGCAGCTTAAGTGAGAGTGAAAGTACTGCTTATAGATTTTGTCCTCGCCTTAAGGTTATTACCTAAGATAACCTTCTCAAAGTTTGAACAGTTCAAACAAAATGTCGCTCTTAACAACTAGATCAACTAGTGATTACACATCGTAGTGTTCAGCAACGCATGTCCAACAGCAATTGACATGGCAAAATAAACTTTGAGGTTCTCGGGTTAGCCTCATCCTATGACAGAAATTCAGATTGGCCCCCTGCATATGAACAGGAGGAACTGATATTTGAATTGTTAGTACCTGTTTGTCAGAGGGGGTAACGCACACACAGAGGCCCCCCAAAGGGCAGAATGAAGGGTGGGGAGAGGGAGGGAACAATGGCAACCAGCCACAAACAATGGGAAACAAGAGGAAAAACAACAAACTCAGACAACAAACAGAGGGAGCACACAACAAGCAGGCAGAACAGAGAACAGAATGGGGAGGGAGAAGGGAAGAGGAAGCACACAAGAACCACCAAGACCCCAATCCTGGCATGCATCATCCGGAATAAAGTTCATTTAGCGGTTTGCGCCAACTTTGGACACGGTAACCAAGCAATGTCAATATAGTTTTTCAGTTGATTTACTGTAAACAACATCCACCTTTGTCCGAACTATGGTTGGCATAGGGGCGGGGTATGTTGGACAAAGTGCAACCAATTTTTCCAGTGAAATATGACTAATTGACTTGGATACAACCATCAAATACCACCAAGAAAAACACTTCTGCAATTGCACACCAAGTC